AAGAAACCATACGTCTTCACCGGACAGCGTGTAAACATCTCCTCGTGAATAAGCTTGGCCACGTTAAAGTTGTGACCATTTATAAAGCACCAAATTAATGCAGCTCGAGGAGCATTCACTTTCGTGGTGTAGGAGGACGGGAGTAGGCGGTTATTGATGATATATAGCCAGCACTTCCCTTCAAAGGTGAGTGCCGCTGAATGGAACTTACGCCCATATTTCATCCACACAGTCTCTTTGCCTGGCACACAAATTATTTCAAAGAATAACTCCCATTGAGTGTATTTTCTGCCATAGGCTTCATAAAAATCCTCCATTTCCGCCATAGGTGCGAGCAATCAGTATATTCTCCGAATAGCCTCAACAGAGGCATCCACAGCCTTCTTGCACACTGTTACTACACCATTCACATGTTCTTTAACGTTGGCATAGAACTCGCGCACATCCATCAAATTCCCATCATCTGGTTCTTCAAAGAAAATTTCTAGCCCATGCCTGACCAGCTCATTGTACAAGTTGGGACACCATGGTGGAGCGACCCTATATCCATGCCCCTCTCTGGTATTGGTTTCTTGGGTGCCTTATAAGAAAAATGGTCCTGAGCTGCGGCGGAGACGAACCAGTTACTATATAAGGACAGGCAGGAGCTGAAGCGCGCGCCCTGGAGGATCCAGCTTGGCCGCTGGATGAAGCACCTATTGTTCGGCGTTTCCTGGAAGGTTCCATAGTACCTGGAAGAAGAATAGCATTAGCACATCACAAAAGATGTGACTCAACTGCGGTTACTCAGACTTTACCCGCACAATTGGTCATATTTACCACTGACACTCACTGTGGCATTGTAACAAACACTTTATGGGCATCATTAACCGGAACTCCCACTTAACCATGTTATAAACCAATGTTCATCACAATTGCCCCAATGTTATCCACCTAAGTTAAGATATACATTTACACAAGCACCACCATCCACAAGCAACTATGCATACACTACAGATTACTTCTAAGAGAAAAGGAAGAAAAACTACTACATAACCAACAATTCAAAAGAAAACCCAACAAAAATTGGCAAAAAGAAAATCTTACCTGAAGTGGGAGGAGATTGTGAGAAGTGAAGAAGAGTGGTGGGGATGGGATTAGCGTTGAACCTTGGGGGGATTAGGGCTGGGATTATTTGGGAATGGGAAAGGGGCGTGTTTGAGTGGAGAGGGAGGGGCCTTAGTCGTGGGGGGAGAAGAGGGGTTTGAGGTGTGATAGGTGAGGGGGGGTTAGGGTTGGGTAAACAAATTAATGCAATTCAAATAACAAAAAAAGAAAATAATAAAAAAAATGTTAACTTATACAAAGTGGCACCGGAACGGTACTAGCGCGGTCCAAGCACGGTCCGAGCGCGGCCGCGCTAGTGGAACAGAAGACTTTGCCATATGTGCGGTCTAAGCGCGGTCTGAGCGCGGTCTGAGGCAGAATACTTTGACATATGCGCGGTCTAAGCGCGGTCTGAGCGCGGTCGCGCTCCTGGGCTTCGAGATTTTTCAATTTTTTACCTATTCCTTCAGAGTTTGATGGACTTATCACTCGCCCAAGCTCACCTGCATTGGTTAGTACTTACTAAAATCAAAAAGAACAATTCTAACTACACTAAAGTCACTACGCATTGGGTTGCCTCCCAACCAGCGCCTTAGTTAATATCATGGCACGACAGTTACGACAAGTCAATGGGTTGCCTCCCATGCAGCGCCTGATTTAACGTCGCGGCACGATGCATGCTCATGTCATCACTCCTCATTTGTGTATTGGGGCTCCTCCAGCATTATCACCACGCTGTCCCCTTTTTCTTCAGTCATTCCAAGGTAATGTTTCAAGCTCTTCCCATTCACTGTGAATTTGTTCGTCCCATCTTCAGATTCGATCTCCACAGCTCCACCTGGGAACAATTGCACCACTCTGAACGGTCCTGACCATCGGGACTTCAACTTACCTGGGAACAACCTTAATCTTGAGTTATATAGCAACACTAATTCTCCGGGTTCGAAGTTCCGATTCAAGATGTGCTTGTCATGCATCAGTTTCATCCTGTCTTTATATAGTCTAGCACTCTCGAATGCCTGGAACCGGAATTCCTCAAGCTCATGCAACCCATTAACTCTGTTGGTGCCTGCTGTCTCCATGTTTAAGTTCAGCTGCCACAATGCCCACAGTGCTTTGTGTTCTAGCTCAACCGAAAGGTGGCATGCCTTTCCAAATACCAACTTGTATGGTGACATACCAATTGGAGTTTTGAAGGCTGTGCGGTATGCCCACAATGCATCATCCATCTTCCTCGCCCAATCAGTTCTTGTTGCATTCACTGTTTTTGAGAGGACACTTTTGATTTCCCTATTGGACACTTCCACCTGCCCGTTTGTTTGTGGGTGATATGGTGAGGCTACCTTGTGGCGAACTCCATACTTCTCCAACAGGCGTGCAAACTCTCTATTGCAAAAATGAGAGCCACCGTCACTGAATATGGCTCGGGGGGTGCCAAAACGTGTGAAGATGTTTTTCTTGAGGAAACTGGTCACCCCTTTCGCATCATTGGTTGGGAGAGCAACTGCTTCGACCCACTTGGAGACATAGTCAACGGCAACCAGTATATACTTGTTACCGTATAAGCTGACGAAAGGCCCCATGAACTCGATCCCCCACATGTCAAACACTTCCACCTCTTGGATTGTGGTCATTGGCATCTCATGACGACGGGATATGTTGCCCGTCCTTTGACATTCATCACAACTTTTGACCCAAGCATGGGCATCCTTGAACAATGTAGGCCAATACAGGCCTGATTCCAGCACCTTTGCTGCTGTCCGAATTCCTCCAAAGTGTCCACCATATGGCGAAGCATGGCAAGCCTGCAAAACAGAGGGTTGATCCATCTCGAGGATACACCGCCGGATCATGTTATCAACACATATTTTGAACAATAGGGGTTCATCCCAATAATACGCACGACAATCACGGAAAAATTTCTTCTTTTGAATTGAGGAGAGATCATGAGGTACAATACCACATGCTAAGTAATAAGTAATATCAGCATAGCATGGTGCCTCCTCCATTTTCATAGCAAGTAATTGCTCATCCGGGAATGTCTCAATGATATCTTCAACCTCCGTTCTCTTCTATGCCCCTTCCAACCTCGAGAGGTGGTCTACTACTTGATTGTCTGTCCCCTTTCGATCACGAATCTCCAGGTCAAATTCTTGTAGCAACAGAACCCAGCGAATCAAGCGGGGGTTTGACTCCTTCTTTGTTATCAAGTACCTAATGGCTGCATGGTTAGTATAACAATAACTTTCGAACCAATAAGATATGACCTGAATTTGTCGAAGGCAAACACTACAGCGAGCATTTCCTTTTCTATGACCGTGTAGTTCAACTGTGCACCACTAAGCGTCCGGCTTGCATAGTAAATTGGGTGCATAATTTTCTCCTTGCGCTGCCCCAAAACCGCTCCTATAGCGTAATCACTGGCGTTGCACATCAGCTCGAATGATTGCTCCCAGTTGGGTGCAACAACGATGGGTGCAGTCACCAATCTCTTCTTCAGCTCCTCAAGTGCTAACCTGCATTCATCAGAAAACATGAAGTGCTGGTCTTTTTCAAGCAGCTTACATAAGGGGTTAACAATTTTTGAAAAATCCTTGATGAACCGCCTGTAGAATCCGGCGTGCCCAAGGAAACTTCTCACTGCTTTCACTGAAGTGGGTGCTGGGAGCTTCTCAATCACATCAACTTTTGCATAGTCTACTTCAATCCCCTTTTTGGACACTCTATGCCCCAACACTATGCCTTCTTGTACCATAAAATGGCACTTCTCCTAGTTTAGCACCAAAATTTTCTCCACACAGCGTTTGAGCACTCTTTTAAGGTTGTGAAGACAATCTTTGAATGAATCCCTTACCACGGAGAAATCATACATAAACACCTCCATAATGTCTTCGACCATGTCGGTGAAAATGGCTAACATACACCGTTGGAATATGGCCGGTGCATTGCAAAGTCCAAAGGGCATCCTCTGAAAGGCAAAGATGTCATACAGACATGTGAAGGACGTTTTCTCTCTATCTTCCGGGGCTATTGATATCTAATTGTACCCCGAGTATCCGTCCAAGAAACAAAAATGGGATCGCCCAGCTAACCTGTCCAACATCTGGTCAATGGAGGGTAAGGGGAAATGGTCCATTCGGGTGACTGCGTTTAATTTCCTGTAATCCATGCAAATCCGCCACCCTATGACTGTACGAATTGAGATCAACTCATTCATCTCATTTTGTACAACTGTCATTGCACCCTTTTTCGGTACACACTGGAAGAAGCTTACCCAATTGCTATCAGAGATGGGAAAGATGATGCCCGCGTCCAGCCACTTGATTACCTCCTTTTTCACCTCCTTCATATTCGGGTTCAGCCTTCGTTGATGTTCCCTGGAAGATTTGTGCCCTTCTTCCAGACGAATCTTGTGCATGCAGAAGGCCGGGCTGATACCCTTTATGTCTGCCATGGTCCAACCAATGGTAGTTCTCCATTCTTGCAGCACCTGCAGTAATTGTTCTATATGCACAGCTAGCAAACCAGATGATATAATAACATGCAAAGTAGAATTGGGACCCAAGAAAGCAAACCTGAGGTGGGCTGGAAGCGGTTTCAGCTCCAGCTGTGGTGGTTCCTCTATTGATGGTTTTGCAGGTGGTGTAGCTCTCTTTTCTAACTCAAGGGGCTCGAACTCAGGCTCCCTCTTCCTGAATCCTTGGCCTTCAAGTGCCATGACCCACTCTGCCAATCCTTCACCATCCATCTCCTCTAAATTTGTCAAGCAAGCTCCCAATGGATCTTTGGCGTTCAGGGTCTCATCTCTTCATACATGATAACATCCACAGCTTCCACTAGTGAGCAATTTGCATATTCACTGGGTCTCCTCATGGATTGTTGAACGTTGAATATTACTTCTTCATCTCAAAGCCTTATTTCAATTCCCCAGTTTCACAAACAATCAACGCTCTCCCAATGGCTAAGAATGGCCTCCCCAGAATGATGGGTATCTCCTCATCTACCTGGCAATCCAGAATAACAAAGTCTGCAGGAATACAAACTTTCCCACTTGTACCAGCACATCATCAAGAATCCCGGTTGGTCTTTTAACCGTGCAGTCAGCCAGTTGCAACAACATCGAGGTCGGTCTAGCTCTGCCAATGCCCAGTTTTGTATACATTGCCAAGGGCATCAAGTTTATGCTGGCTCCTAAGTCACACAATGCTTTTGCAAAATCATAACTTCCAATAGTGCACGGAATAGTGAAGCTACCTGGATCAAACATCTTTTGAGCCATGTGTCTTGTTACTACCGCGCTGCATGTCTGTGTTAGAGTTACTGTAGACAGGTCTTGAAAGTCAAATTTCCGCGACATCAGGTCCTTCATCATTTTTGCATAGCCTGGCATTTCCCTCAAAGCATCCATCAGAGGGATATTCAATTGAATCTGACGAAGCATCTCCATGAATTTCCTGTATTGATCTTCTTTCTTTTGTTTGGCCAGTCTCTGAGGGAATGGTGCAGGCATCACTCTTTGTTCCTGCTTGCTGGCTGTTCTTTGTTGGAATTTTGTGGCACAAGAGGTACCACCTGTTCTGCAACTTGTTCACTTTATTTAGCCTTACTCTTATCAACCTGAGCCTGTTCAACCACAACTTCAGTGAGTTCTGCTGATTCATCTATCTCTACTGGAACTGGAGGGGCTGGTGTAGTCTCTCTTCTGGCTTGATCAACTTCTTGCTCCTTGTCTAAATCTCTCCCATTTCGGAGACTTACTACCATCAATTGATTCGGGTTTTGCTCCTTGGGGTTAATATTCGTGTCGGCTGGCAATGTTCCCTGGGCGCGATTATTCAAGGCCATGGATAGCTGCCCCAGTTGAGTTTCAATACTCTTAATTGCTGAGTCATGCGCTGCCAACTTTTCCTGCATCTTACCATTTGTTCCAATGAGTTGTTGCAGCATACCCCTGATTTCTACCATGTTGCTGTCCTGTTGCTGCTTCGCTGGCTGATATGTCAAATGTTGCTGGTGCTGCTGTTGATAACCCTGTTGTCTCTGATATGGCACCATTTGGCCTTGGGGCCGCATACCTCCCGGTTGTGGCATGTTCGGTCTGTACTGCTGGTTAGGTGCTGGTGCCATTGTTTTCCTCCTTGCTCTGACCCAAAATTGTTGACATAATTCATATCCTCTCTTAACCCTTGGTTGTCACCTTCTCCACTCCATGACACACATAAGACTGATTAATGCAAGGTGTACACAGTCCTCCATTTGTTGTGTCAACTATATGCACTTGCTTTGTACCCATCTCATTGTTCTTCTTTGTTAGTATACTCAGATGAGTCTTGAGTATGGCTATGTTCTCTGCATGTGAATTATTTGGGTCAAGAGGAACTGAATGTACTATTGGTGATAGGGTCGTACCTCTCATCATCCATCCCGAATTTGGGGCCATCTTTTCAAGAAGGATTTTACACTCTGTGAATGTCTTGCTCAGGATTGCACCCCCAGCTGAAGCATCTACATTGGCCTTTAAATTGTCTGCTAATTCCATGTAGAATCTCTGGCGGAGCATCTGGTCTGGAATACCATGGTGGGGACACTTCACTAGCATCCCTTTGAATCTTTCCCAAGTTTCCTGCAAGGTCTCAATGGGCTGCTGCTTGAACTGCAATATCTCATCTATCTGTCTTGTAGTCTTGTTGGGCGGGCAAAACTTGTTCAGGAACTACTTGACTAATTCTTCCCAAGTGGCAATGGAATTTATTCGGAGCGAATTTAGCCAAGTCTGAGCTTCCCAAGTCACAGAGAACGGGAGTAACAGCTTGATGTGTGACCCGGAGAACAATCCCTTATTCTACAAAAGATGCAGCATGTTGTTGGTGATCTGGAATGTCTCCACTTGTATTTGGGGCACAACAATGGCAGTGGCCAGGTTGTCAGTTGTTGTTTGTGCCCAATCATAAAGTGCAGCTTCTGGCACAAGAGGTGCACACTGCTTCGTTTGGCACATTGATGGTTTCCCTGTTGTCCATTTCAGTTGCGAGTTGGTGTGTTTGTTGTGATTGTTTGTTCTTCTTGTTGGCACGGTTGTTTAATGCCCTAAATGTTTTCTCGGGGTCTGGAGTCCTTTCAAGCAGCTTCACCAAGTCCTCGAAGAATTTCTAGGCATACACCTGAATCACACAAGAGTTCAAACGTGAGAATTTCAACGAAAAATTATTTAACACCGTAGAAAATTGATCTAAACTAATAATTCTATCACACTTCTAAGTTGCAATAAATAACACCGTAAACATCCCCGGCAACGGCGCCAAAAATTTGATCCACGCCCAACTATGCCCTTATAAAAGAGACAAGAGCGGTTGTTTGCAAAATAATAATCCGGTTTTTCAAGTCCGGAGTCGAATCCTCAGGGAACTAACCTATCTATTACAACTCTTAGCGATGCTAGTACAAGCTCAAACAATTTTCGGATGCAAGATTTTTATCAATAAATAGTGAGATTTGTTTAACTAAAGTAAAAGGATATTAAAACTAACACTATTCTAAATTAAAGATAATTCAATGGTAAAAAGATCTAGGGTATTGATTTCCCCAATTGCTAACTTAATTCTTAACTCTTTTGCTATAATCTCGCTGTAATACTCTATGAGGATTATGAGCTATGGATTACCGCAATTATCTCTCGATCAACTACAATAATTTACTAGAGCATTCTCTCGAACTACTCTAGCTGATAATTTATGCAGCTCTGAATTATCCCACCAAAGTTTCGTTATCTCTAACCCCACTTTTAAATTCAAGTAATGAATCTCTTCAATTACCCAAAAGTGGTGTTGTTCAACAACAATCTAACCTAGTATTCTTTCTCAAGCAACACAAGGCAATTAGACACGATTAATCGAGGGCCCATTCAATTAATCACCATACAAAACATAGTTGAACAATCATATAATAAACCCGGCTCGATTATAACAAAATTGAGTCAAAACTTCATCTAACAGTTGGTTCCATCAACCCTAGATTAAATGTTTAGCTACTCATGGTAAAACAAGATAAAACCATAAAATCACTCATAATTCGCAAAATAATGATAACAAGAAGAAGAATGAAAAACTCTAATGGTGTCTTGATCTTCTCACACTTGTTCTTACCTCCACAAAACTATAAAAACCTTGATATCCTCTCTTTGGGCGACTTTGGTTTCTTATATGTTAAGGAGAGTTGCCCCCGAACTTCCAAAAATTACCCTTGGAAATAAGGTTTAGCGGACAGACGAGCGCGGCCGCGCTTGGACCGCGCTTGGGCCGCGCATATCGCGTTCTATTCTGCCCAGACTAGCGCGGCTAGAGCGCGCTCGCGAGGTTCAGCTGTTTTCTCCTTTTCTCCTTCTTCTTTCACGCGCATTCCCCTCTGAGTGGATTTCCTTGCTCCAAATTAGCTCCAAATGCTGTTCAATGTCCTCATAATCAACACTTGCTCCTGCAAAGCACAAAAACCTCAATCAGAGCATTTTGTTATCGTTTAGCATTTCAAACATCAATAAAGTATGGTTAATTTCGAGCATAAATAGCATCTACATCGCATAATATAGGCTACTATCAATAACCCATGCCTTCTGCATAGGCTCGGGGCCCTAGACCCGGATTGCTATATATTTTCCCGAGCCATAAAAAATGGCCTAAGGAACAATAGTCACGGCCTCACTAATCCTCATTTTTAGCGTTTTAGGACCATAAAACTAGAATTTTGACCGATTTCCTATTTTTCGTGTGCCATAGCCCACGCCTTCTACATGGGCCAGGTCCCTAGACTGGGATAACCTAAAATTTTCCCGAGCCATTAAAACCGACCTAGGGAACAATAGTCACCAGCTTATATTGACCGTTCCTCATTTTTTGGCATTTTAGGGCAACAAAACTAGAATTCTGCCAAATTCCCTGATTTTTGTGTGCTATAGCCCACGCCTTCCACATGGGCCTGAGCCCCAGACCCGGATCGCCTAAAAAAATTTCGAGCTATCAAAACGACCTAAGAAACAATTGTAACTGCCTCACCATAATTGTTACTCATTTTTGGCGTTTTAGGGCCATAAAACTGGAGTTCTGCCTGATTCTTAGATTTTCGTGTGCTATAGCCCACGCCTTGAGCATGAACCTGGGCTGCCGGACGCTGATCGCCTAAAATTTTCCCGAGACATCAAAAACGACCTAGGAACAATAATCACCACCTCACCATGACCATTCCAGGTTTTTGGCGTTTTAGGGCAATAAATTTGGAATTATGCCTGATTTCTTGATTTTCGTGTGCTATAGCCCATGCCTTATGCATGGACCCGGGCCCCCAAACCCGGATCGCCTAAAAGTTTTCCCGGCCATAAAAAATGACCTAAGGAAAAACAGTCAATGCATGGCCATGAGCATTCCTTATTTTTTTTTTTTGGCGTTTTAGGGTCATAAAAATTAAAATTCCGCCCAATTCCTAGATTTTCGTGTGCCATAGACCACGTCTTCTGCATGGGCCGGGCCCCTTGACCCGGAATGCCTAAAATTTTCTCGGGCCTTTGAAAAAAACCTAAGGAACAATGGTCACCGCCTCTCCATGAACGTTCCTCATTTTTTGGCGTTTTAAGGCCATAAATCTAGAATTCTGCCTGATTCCCTGATTGCCTTCCGCATGGTCCCGGGCCTGCAGACTCGAATAGCCAAAAATTTTGCAGGCCATCAAAGACGACCTAAGAAACAATAGTCATCACCTCTCCATAACAAAAAATAGTCATCGCCTTGTTATAACCGTTACTCATTTTTCGTGTGCAATAGTCCGCATGGGCCGGGCCCCCCTGACCTTAATCACCTAAAATTTTCCCGCGCCATCAATTATGACCTGGAACAATAGTAACCTTCTCACCGTGGCCGTTCCTCATTTTTTGGTGTTTTAGGGCCATAAAACTAGAATTCTGCCAGATTCCCAAATTTTCATGTGCTATAGCCCACACCTTCAGCATGTCCCGGACCCATGGACCTGGATCAACTAAAATTTCCTCGGGGCATAATAATGACATTAGGAAAAGAGGTCGCCGCCTCGCCATGATAGTTCCTCATTTTTTGGCGCTTTAGGGCTATAAAACTAGAATTCCGCCCGATTCTCACATTTTCGTATGCTATAGCCAACGCCTTCCGCATGGGCCCGGGCCCCGGACCTGGATTGCCTAAAAATTTTTCAGGCCATCAAAAACGAACTAGGAACAATAGTCACCTCCTTGCCATGAGTGTTCCTCGGTTTTTGACATTTTAGGGCCGTAAATCTAGAATTTCGCTCGATTCCTTGATTTTCGGGTGTTATAGCCCATGCCTTCCGCATGGGCCCCGCCCCCCGGACCCCGAT